ATAAAATCTTCTCCAAGAGCATTCTTGATTTAGTATTGTTATCTTGATTACCCGCGCGAGCCGCACGAAAAAGTTGGCGTTAGTTAATTGCGTCCTCTCGCTATATACCTGCCCGTTTCCCCCCTTTCCCTTTCTCTGCGAATGTCTTCCCTGGAATGCGGTCCTCGATCTGAGCTCTAGAGACGCTTAGGCGTATTCCTTGACACACTTAATTACGCGATCGGATATCCACGATATATGCGACATAGAGACCTCCGTCTTTTTACCTGCCCGTCCGAGTAAATAGGTAATGATTTCTCGCATCTTCGGCTTCTTTTGCCGTCACCACCGACGCGTTGTTCGGATGCATTTGCAGGACAAAAAGCGCGTATGCGTCAGCAGCGAGCGCTTCGAGACAAGCGTTCAAGCGAAACGACGTGGAAGCGACGTGAGAAGACGAGACGAGAGAGACCGAGGAAGTCTCGACGGGCGGCTGAGCTCCCGTTTGTCTTCTTTGTTCCACCTCTTACTTTTTTTCGTTTTCCTTCTCCCTCTCTCTCTCTCATTCTTCTTTGTACAGCTCATTATGCTCCTTTTAGCGGACGTGTGTGTCTTTTCGTCGAGCCGACGAATCTTCGCTTCGGTCGCGATTTCACAGAGACTTCGAAACGAATCGAGACACGCGAGTTGTCCACGAGATCAAAAGAGCGAGACAATGTCTGGAATTATGTTCTCTCGATGAAATGTTCAATTCAACAATCAAAAGAAGAATCAGACAATACGTTGAAAATATAATTCGATTCGCTCAACGGATCGTCGTTTCGAAGTATTTAATACTGATTGTGAGACTGTAAGAAGAAAAGATTCTAGAAATATATCTTTTTGAGAAGAAGATAATCTTAAAGTATTTCATTCTAAATATTCGGAAGAAAGGAGAAAAAGAAAGAAAAAGAGAAAGAGAGAAATCGAAGACAATGTCCTGGACGTTCTATCCTCTCGAAATAAATTACTCAGGTTTAAATTTCAAAATTAAAAGAATGGGGTCACGACAAGATTGGAACTACATTCTTTTAAAAACGTTATCGTTCCGAAATATATCCTCTAAATCCTTTTAAAATATCTTGAATATTTTTTTCCGACTGAAATGTACATTTATATTTTCATTCATTTGACAATTTTATATAAAGTATAGTTTTAAAAATGCATCGTTTTCGAAATACCTCATTTTTTAATATAATAAATTTCTTGAGTTTTTGGAGCAAAATTTTATTACATTCAAATTATATTTAAATTTTTATATTAAAATACTTGAAAAAAAATCTTATTTGAATAGACATAAAACAAATTCATTTACGATGCAAATGCTTTCTGGCTCTGATGTAAAGTAAATCTTAATATATATGTAATATAAATATAATATAAATATCAAATTTAAGTTATAGTAAACTTGGTAAAATTTTTATGTGAAGAATTAAAGAAAAACAACAAATGCATCGATATGTTGAAAAATCAGATGTCTAAACAATGTATCGAAAACAAAGCATTTCCAAAAATGTTGTCCTAGAAAAAAAAATATGTTTTGACAAAGAATTATTATATTTATATAAAAATACACTTTGTGTATATTTCTCGAGATTAAACTTTTTCTCTCTTTCTCTCTCTCTTTCAAGGCGTACTTAATTCGCTCTACTTTTTCGGGCTCTTTTTTCGAATCGCGTCTTTAAACAAGGTCCTGCAACAGCATATTTCAATGGTTCGTAAATCAACTTGCGAGATATGTACGACCGGTATTGCGTACATCACATACACATCAAGGACTTAGCTGTACGCAATAGAGACGAGATGAGGCTGTGATGGCAAGAAAAGATAAAGATCACTCGCGCATATAATTCGACAGTTATCTTTGACGTTATCTACGACAGGAACTGCATTCAGTCGTAAGAATGTTTATCTTGGTCGGCACTTGACAAAGGGACAGCGATCATTAGCCGCGTCTAGGCAAATAGCGTGCATATATGTGCCAGATCGCGCGTTTCCGCGGATACACGGTACATACCGTCGTGTGTACTATCTATGCGAAGTTTTCGAAAGCATATAAGAATATTTCTCTACCACCGTCACATTCTGACGAAATGGTTTCTTCATGCAGAGATTAGACGCGAAGATCGCATTCTCTCGAAGGAGCCAGAAAAGTGAATGTTCTTCGCGAGATTAAGGAATATTTTTTCTCTAAGATTGTAAATTTCTATGGAATCTTCAACGTTCAAGAGAATTGTGGACTTTATATTATTAATCTAACATATACTAAATAAAATTTATATATCTTCTATATATCTTCTATATAAGATATAGATGTTCTTCTAGATATCTTATATAAGACATAGATAGATATAGATACCATAAGATAATCTATATATAGAATATCTTTTATATTATTATAATATATAACATATAATAAATAAAATGTAATAATCTAATCAAATTTATATAAATCCTGCGCGTTGCAAGATTTCTGTACACACTCAAATCTTGTGAAAAAATTTCCTGAAAATTTCATGCCCTTCCAGGTATTGTTACTCTAAATTGCAGGTAAAGAGAATATTTAAAAAATTTTTTGATGCAACTTTTAAAAATAAGATTTTTTTATAGTAGACTAATAGACTTTTGCTCTTCATCATACGAAGGAAAAATTCAGAAACATTCAAGTTTTAAGTACCAGATATATTGAAAAAAATGAGTTTTCATAAGATAAACGTTTTTCATTTTTATTATATCACTAAAAATTACAATAAAGAATATGTTCTGCATATTCAATATTTTGTTAAGATATTGAATAAACAGATATATATTTATAATTAATATTTTAAACACACAATATAAGAGTAAAATGATCAAAGAGAGAATTTAAAAAAAATAATTCCCGGAGTCCTAATTAAAATTTCATTCCGATTTTTCCGGGAAGTAGACACTCTGTCATAAAGAAATAAATCGACGTCGGCGAGAAGCAATCGAGGGATCAAGAATCCCGCGCGCGTTTCGTGCGAGTATTTATACGAGACTAATAATCTGACCGACCACGCGACGTGTCACGTGTCCCCCTGGAATGGCATTGTCGTGCTTTTTCATCGTTGGGATAGAACGCGAGTGCCTACGTGTGCAAACCTTTTTCTGCCTAACCGATGTCAACGAACCTCGGAGGCTCGGCGAGCCTCGCGAAGGTCCGTTCGCGTACTTCGCGTGCGAACGTAGATCTCTCGTGATTGCTCTCGGGTCGCTCGTTCGGCGACACTTATCCGCATAACTTACACGGCGATCTCTAAAGTAGCGGAATACACCGGTTCATGCGAATCAATGAGCATTACGTACTGGCGTTTGTTGCAAACATGCACCGCGCGAGGACATCTGGATTTATACCGCCTGTATCCTTGAAGAGTTTCGGAGCGAGACACCTGTATGTGTGTCGTGCATCACGCGCGCGTTTATAATTTATAATATTTATTTTCGGATCATCACGTTGCGCATAAAGCTGACTTTGATCGAGGAAAAAAAACCCTCTTCCTCTATATCTATAACATAGATATATAATTATAATCTATAAAAGGGGCTCGCACGCGCATGCGCGAATCGCTAAGTCTAGCTCATTCAATCTAGACAATTTAAATATAATACTACTTACGCAAAACACAAAGATATAATATGTGTACTTTATAAATGTATTTAATATTTAAAATGAATTTCTTCCCTAAAACGATATATATCTATATTTTTAAAAAATATATAATTAATAAAAAATATTTAATTTTAAAAATTTTTGTAAAATTAAGAAATGTCTCGTATGTGTGCAGATTTGTATGTGTAATTGAGATGAAAAACTTGAAGTAAGATCGCTGGTAAATGTTCGGCTGCGCTTTCTGACGCGCGAAAGGAGTTAGAAGGAAAGCGTAACTTTAATCATTATTTGTAATCTCTCGACAACGCGTTGTGTCCTCGACCAACGAACTCGAAGGCGCGAATGAGCACGAGCGACGTCGTCACCACGTTTCTTATCGTCACTGTAATAATTTAGGATTTATCGACTTTTTTTCTAAAGCCGGATCATCGATATAAACGCGACGGGGTCTCACTTTTTTACGCGATCGATTTGATTCAGGCAATAACGCGTTTCATTCAACCCTCGTTCTTACATACAACATACAAATTGTTTCTACATCTTTTTCTTTTATTACAATTTAAAGATGTCTTTTTTTTTCTCAACAAAGATTCCATTTCTTCTCTCAATTTTTAATTATCGAAGTTATTAAAGTTTTATTGAAAATAATATAAAAATGTAATACTTTCGTTATCTTTTTTTTATCTATTTATCTATTTAATCTATCTATCTAATTTATCTATTTAATCTATAGCACTAAAAAGATTATTTCATAAAAATTCTGAGGGTACTTTCTTGAGCTTATAATTTAGAAATCTTTATTATACCTAAATATAATTTTATTCATGAAAGCTTCAGTCTTGAAACTATCGAAATAATTTATAAATAAAAAATGTGAAGGAAAAATTGGAACATGTTACGTCAGTTATATTTGTGCATCAATTTATGATTCTTAAATTTTCGTTTTATGTGCTTTCGTAAAATATGCATTATGTATTTTCACCGTTCATTCTCATATTATTTAGATATTATTGGGGTAAATAGTAAACATCTATTATCTATCTTAAAATTGTATAACTTTTGAAAATCAAGAAAATTATTTTTATAATAATCTGTTCTCCGAAAATTTTTCTATCAATTAAAAGCTAGAGAAACAATTAAAGTACTAAATAAATACAAAATTATATGATTAGAAAAAGAATATTTTTCTAGCACACGTATGATCCAATACTACTAATTAAATAAAAAATGCAATTATAAGCATAATAAATATAATTTATTAAGTATATGTAATTGCATTTTTTTGCATATATATTTGCCGCTTTTTCTCTCTCTCCTCTCTTCTCATAGAATAATTATTAATAAATCTTACCTTTGAAGGATCGGGTATCCTCTGAAGTCCGAGGCCTTGCATAATGCTCCTTTTGATAATCTCTAACTCGTCATTACCGAGTTTGTTTCTCGGCACCAGCTCCTCTTCTTCGATGCCATCCTCAAATGTATCTATCGCCTCCAAAGTCGACAACGATGACGACGATGGCGGCGCGGCCAGCACTACATCGCAGAGCAAACTCATTACAAGTAGTCCCAATAGAAGGCCTCGCAGAACGAGGCCGATCCTTGGCAATCTCCAATACGTCTTGATCCGCCAGGTTTGTCCGTTACGATCGATTCTCGCCGGGAATCGCGATGAAGACGACGTATTTCTTCGATTTACTATTTCTTCGCGGAAAATACACGAGGATTTAACGAGGCCAATCAGTCCAGCAGGATTACAGATATTATTATTGGCCCAAACATTTCCCGTATCGTTAACATCGATCGACTCTCGAGTCTCGAGAACGGTTCTCGGCGATCCGCTGACATTATTTAATACGCTACTGTCGGATAAGGTACATCCATCACACTTGGAAACTCGGTCCGTGCTATCGACGTACGGAACGGAGAATCGATTCCGGGCTTCACGTCCGATTGCAACATCATCCACTGTATTACGCGGTGATTTCTCAACTTCCGCTACTTCGATCGGCGCAGTGAAAAATCTGCTACGAGTTAGCGAGGAGCTGACAGCTCGTCGACGATTTCGCCGCTCGATCAACGACGAGCGTCCGCAGGTGAAGTGATCGCAGCTGATGGCTCGATCGCGAGCACGTCTGCGCGGGAAAAACGAGGCGACGTCGACGCTCGAGAAGCAACAAGTGCGACCATCGTCGACGGCAATCCTGGCGTTCCAGCGGTCAAGAGCGTTGTTTCGCGCGAGATCAACGCTCCGGACAACGTTGTCGATCGTTGTCCTCCTCGTCGCATCAACGATCCCCGAGATCGGGCGAGATTCATCCTCGCATCCCCTTGACAGGCCGTTGTCGAGTATCGACGCGATAAGGAATCGACGATCGCGATCGGCGGCAGCGCTATCGGCGATCGCGCCACTCGTCGCGCTGGATCCGACGACAATCGCCGCCGTTGCCGTCGTTCTCTCCTGCTCTTCGCCCTTGCTGTTCACCCTTGCGTTGTCGCGAGTAGTATCACTTTGAGGGATTATTAAGAGCTTGCCCATAGCCAGAGACACGGTCTCGTGGCCGGTTTCACGCCGGCTACTTATTATCCGTGCGTGAGGGATGGATTTTGTTCAATTATTTGTCCTCCAATGAACGTGTACGGTTATATCCTCTCCAAGGATCAATTCTCTTCGATAGATGCGTAAGATCCTCGATCCGGTCGACTCCAGTTAATTCCGGTTACTTCCACCTGTGATCATCGTTCTTCTACGAAGAACGTCTTTCTACTTTGGAAGCACGTTCAGCTGCTTCGACCGAGAAATACCGTCCTGAAAGAAAGAGAGAGGGAGTTGGAGCTGACGTTTCGTTGGCGGGATCGAGCGAGGTGTCCGATCGATCTCTCTTAGATGCCGGCACGTGGCATTCTAAGAGCGCTCCGCTTGAGCGCGAAGCGCCGTGTGCGAGCCGGATGTCCGATAAGGGAATCTCGTCGCAACGTACCTCTTCTTCTTTCCGTTAATGAACGACGACGACGATGACGAAGTCATCGCGCAAAAAGAAACGATCGCGATTAAAATGGCGAGTAATCGAATTTCGATTTGTAACGATACCGCGGAGATTCTTCTCGAAAAAAAAAAATTTATCGTCGAGAGCGTCAAGATCGAAATGAGATAAAACACTTCACTTCTCCTCCTTCTTCCTTATCGCAATCAAATCTTTCTTTTCTTTCTCCCCCTCAGTCGCAGGAAGGAGAGCGCAAGGAGATCCTCCTCGAACGAGTGCCGCGTGTCGACTGTCCGCGGCTATGATATTGCGTGTGTATATATCCCAGCGAGTCTGCTCCCGCCGCGACGCTTCGCGCACTGCGCGCAGGACGAGAGCGAGTGAGAGCGCCCAGGGGAGAAAGGGAGGGAAGGAGAGAGAGAGAAAGAGAGAGAGAGAGAGAGAGAGAGAGCCAAAGGTGTCGTCGAATGGGGTAAATAGGAGCATTTTCCCCCACATAAAGTACATGTAAAACATGTACTAATCTTCATTCAATCATCCGCGATCATCAAATACATATTCAGATCCTACAGATCCGGATGTTTACAAAGACAGTGTATTTCGAATGTAAGTCAATGAAATGTATCGTCTGCAAATTTGTACTTTTTTCAGCAAATATCTATTTCACACTCTTATAATTAGAATTAGTTATTACTTGAATTCAATTTTCTTGCAAAAGCAGCAAAAGTTATCTACATCTATAGTAAATAGGATATGTAATCATGTGAATGGGATTGTAAAAAATACTTGTAATGATAAATATATAATTGATATAATAATATAATTGATATAATGCAATATATATTTGATGCATACAAGCTTATAAAGATAATTTTAAAACAAGAAAAAAATCTTTAATCTATTACATATGTTATGTAAAATAATCTATTATATATGTTATGTAAATGATATTATAGAAACATTTGTAAATTTTACTAAAAAAAAAATAAAAAACAATTTCCATAGCAATGATGCATTTGCATTGTTATGTGTGTATTATAGAAATAATGTCTGTAATATCAGTCTTCATTAAAGTGAAGTATAATTTTGTATTTGATACCAATGAAAAATTTTCCTCCCAAAATTGTTATAATAAAAGGAAATGCTAAAACGGAAATATCGGATTATTAAAAATAGTATGTAGCTGTTCTATTTCAAATACAGAAAATCTAAAAAAGTATCACTGAAACAAATAAATCTGGATTTTGATTCTCGAGTTTGCGTGTGCTTATTTTCATATAAGACTGTATATTCTAAACTCAGTTTTGTATATAAAAGTTTTGCGTTCGAGAATTAAGAGATTTTGTTTGTGATTGTACGTTATAAAAACCTAGTAAATCTAACTTTAAAATGCGAATTTAATGAAGTAATTCACCTTTTCAATTCTGGCTATTTACATTCTCTCATAACAAAAAGGCGAAAGGTTTTGCTACTTTCTCGTATCCCATATTCGTCTCCGTCGAGTCGATCACCATCAAATTTCGATTCTCATCGAATCTCGATTTCTCCGAGAGTGCGAACGACTTTCTCGCGCTATCTTAAGTGCAACGCATCTCAAGTTCAATTACATGAGACGAAGTATGAAGTGATCGAATACTCGTCGCCCACCCTCTCCATTCCCCTGTCACATAATCATTAAATTCATCTTCGTTTGAAGTTTAATTGCGAAGTATAATCGAGTCTCGACGGCGACCTTCTGTTGATTTATCCTTCGATGGCGCGACGAGACTTCATATTAAATTTCTCAAGAGCGCGGTACCGCATTTACTTTTAAATAAGTTTTCTTCTTTTTTAAAGCAACGAATCGAGACAAAAGATACAAAAAAGATTAGCTGATCAGATGCACAATCGACGTTATTATAATTTTTTTCGTTCTTCTAATGTACACGCTTTAAATTGTTACTTTTTAATTTACTGTTTCTGTTATAATTCTTATGTTAGATGATATGCACAAAATATAAAAATGTAAAAAAAATACAAAAAAGAATTAAAAATCTAGTTACATGATAAAGTATGTAATTTAAATTTTTCATTTTGTTCAGCATCATGCATATATTTAGAAAGAAAAAGTGACAAGATTTATGTCTCAGCCTTGCCTGCGCGTGTCCAGGAGGTACGGAATGGAAATTATACATCCGCATTGACTTCTGACCCGCGATTATTCCAATCGCATAACCCCGCGTCTTCGATTTTCTCATTAGCGTCCCACTTAGCTTTTCTTCCGGTGATAACGAGCGTCGTGTGACATCTTTGGCTTTCATCCAGTTCTGTCATTTATTTGCATCAACGCTGCTTCTCTTTATCAAAACTACATTCCATTGAAGACTATAATCGTTATCTTGCGACAACTAAATTCTCTTGTATTTTGGGTGAGATTTAAATCTAATGTACAAAAAATTGGAAAATTGTTCTATTTTAAAAACTAAAAAATTGTACTTTAAAATAAAAAAAAAATTTATTTATATAATAAATTTATATATGTATATGTAAATTCAATTTTTAACTATTATATTTAAATTAGGAGGCATGTAGGAATTTGAAATTGAGCATCTCGCTTATAATTATTACATAATGAGATAAGAAATTTCCTAGAACTTTCTAACAATATATCTCTAAAAATGCAAGAGTGATGTGACTTAGAATGAAGTTCACATTGGCAAGAGTTAACGCAAACTGTTACTATAGGAAGATTCATGTATATATATTATTCACAACTTCTCGGATTTGTATAAAATGACTGCATTTTTATTCGAATACAAAAGTAATATGTAACAAAGTAATAGTATGTAACAAAAAAGTAAAGGAATAGAATCAAAATTTGTATCCATCTTATTTTAATTTTCATATTTTTTAAGAAATTAATTAATAAAAAAAGCTTAAAACTTTGCAATCCAAGTATTTTGCAAAAGTATGAGAGAGATAGATTAATACTAAAACGATTCTTGCGCGCAAACTTTCGCATATAAAATAGATGAATCGTACAATCCTGGTTGTTAATCATCGAGAAAGTCAGCGGGAAAATCAATCATAAGTGTGGACAAAGCGACTATTGATCGGCGCATGGATACATGACGATTCGGGCTTTACGCGCGTCATCGTAATAGGGATCGAAGTTTTCACGTGTACACGTAACAGGGCAAACTGTAGGTGGGTGGTATTATCAGACAAGGTAATGTTCTTAAACCTCTTTCCCTCTGTATGTATATATACTGATCGAGCAAAATAAAAGCGTGACCGCAACGGAATCCCCGAATGAAGTCACCTCCCGGAAATCACCGATCGATTTCGGGGAAGGTGTTGCTACGGTCGCGCGAATGCGACACATGCGAGTCCCTCACCTTTTTTCGCGGAAGCGACGCTTTTCGCGTGATAATTCGTTAATCTCGAAAACGCATTAGCCGGAGATTCCGGATAATAATTGGATGTCGCGAAAAGAGCGAGAAGACATCTCCCGGAAACCCCCGGATGGGAATTAACAATAAAACTTGAAAATTTAATTATCGTAATCGATGATTTCACCGAATTCATTTATTTTACATACATCGATTTTGCGCTTGTGGAGGAGAAAATGTAAAATTTATAACACTTCCGAGAGAAAATCTCTGTCCGTTATCATATAGATGTTGCTATGGATGTGTGAACTACACACATATACACACACATATATAATAGAATAATCTAAGAAAAGAATATATTTCTTTAAAATCTTGTGATAATTATATCACGCTTAATAAATCAGTAATTATATCGGGATTTCGTTTCCATTTCATAGGTTATTATGAAAATTCTTTTCTGATATTCTTATATTTTTCTTATATTTATTGGATATTGGATACACGTGTGTGTATTTTTTTTTCTAGGTACAATAGGCGATAAAACATAAAATTGATTTCTCTCATGTAATTTCGTTTGATAATTATGATCATGATTCATGTATCATGATTGATTTTTAATGTAAAATGTTATTTTTTTATGACGGTTTATATTTATTTGTGAAAACTTTTAAAATAATAACTTAATTAAAATTAAAAAAAAAACTTTCTAGAAAACAAAAATACAAAAAAGTAGTTCGAATTTGTATGCACTAAATAAAAGTATAAAATAATTTACGTTATTAATAAAACATTAAGACATATGTATGTACTTGGCATTTTTGTTATAAAATAAAAATGTATAATTCATCGATGTGTAACAGAAGAGAATTGAGTACGTCGTATGTGTTGTGTTGTTGTGTTATGTAATTTAAAATTTATAAATATAAAAGATCTAAATCATATCAGCATTCTAAAATATATAATTAACATTTTTAAAAATTATGATTACACGGATTGGATTATATTTGATGTGCACAATACAATAAGCAGATATTTCACGGAATAATTATATAATCGATTAAAAACTATATTTCTTTTTATAGTACAAGTTCTTACAAAGTAATAATATATAAAAGCTTTTTCTCATTTTTATTGAAATTATATCCGAATAAATAAACTGAAATAAATAGGGAATGAATCGCGTGTAGGCGATTGATAGAAAATAATATATAAATAAAAAATTAATTATTCACTCTAAAATTATTAATCTTCTATTATCAGAATGCTTCTTCTCTCAAGTTATAAGAGCTTATACATGCACTGCATCCACTTTTTTGTATTATGAAAAAACGATTAATATCGATCGCGTGCGAATTCTCCATGGAATGCTGAAGAACGTATAGAATGCTCAGAATGCGCGAAATTTCACAAAGTACTTCCGAATCTTGCAAATTCCGAAAAAAATTAATCGATAAATATCCCATTTCGTAAAAAAAAGACTAACATTGACATTGACTCTAAAGTATAAAAATATATGATGGAATTTCCTTAATCGATTGCTCAGTAAATGTTTCAATGACATATCCAATTCCAACGGCATCAAAAGTCGATATCATTGGCAATAAAATCATAAGTGGGAAAAAATATTTATAAAACTGAATTATATATAGACTAATTTTAATAACCTACTAATTTTACTAATTCTATTATCTAAATTATTAGATCTGGCGATTTATGTATTATTTTATCTTTTATTAGTTATTGTTTGTTACTTAAATCATTATTCGATTCGGAGATTTCTTACTCCATTCCCTTAATTTAATAATAATGATAATAAATTACAATTGGCGGGAAAAATTTCAAGCGTGACGCAAGATATATCTGAGTTAACAAGCATTGTTAAGGAATTAATTGCCACTCATAAATATCACGATACAATAAATTATAATAATTTACGACAATAAATTAAAATTTCCAATTTTCGTAGGAATCGATGAATTTGCATAATTAACGGTAACGGGTTAAAGGTAACGGCCTTCAATGACCTTATTAAAATTTGATTTATAACGCGGATTTAGTTATTTACATTTCTTTCAGTTTCACACAGAAGAAATCGATTCAATGTTCAGTTTTTGGAAGAAATCCTGCGAATATATAACATCGAAAGTGTG